CGGATACGGTTAAAACCTGTTGCATAAGAAGCAGTATAGCACAAACTATAAATAGCATTGAATATGACCGCTTTTTAATCATGCTAAAAAAATTGCTATGAAGATGAAATATTGTTGAGAAATTTTGAACAATCATAAATTACTCATATAAACTTTAACAATCATCATTTTTTTTCCTATGTTAATTAATTTATGATTGTTAAAATTTTTTAATCAAACAGAATAAAATAATTGTTATATTTGCCTTTTATCCTTTTATAAATTATAAATTCTTTATGGAATTATTTTGTAAGACTAAATTGTAATTAATAAATCGATTAGTAAAAATCGAAAAAACGAAAGTGAAAATTAATTCTTTTTCTAACTAGAGAAAATGAATGAGTGAATGAAGGAATGAATGAAATGAAATGAAACAACAGCTAATTAATTTAATGATGTTGAAATGATCATTTAATAGCTTGTAGTTAAACAAGAATGCAAAGTGTAATGGGGAAGAAAGAATTTTTATGAAATGTATGGAAACAATAGACCTAACGAAATGAACAATAATAATATCGCAATTTATGGAACAATTTACTAGGAAAAAGGAGAAAAGAAAAGGTAAAGAAAGGAAAAGATGAAAATAACAGAAATGAAACAAATGAATAGAATACATACATCACCCTATCATCACTCCTTTAAAAGTGATGAAGTAATAGTAATAATTGTAAAAGAAGGAGGGAGAGATGGAAGGGAGGAAAAAAGTGAAACAGGAAAGAAGAAAAATAAAGAATGAAGAAGAAAACTAATTGGCATTGATGACAAATAAAAATTAGTTCGAGGATTTCAAAAAAAAAAAAACTTAATTTAATTTAACTGAACACATTCATGTGAACAATTAATAGGAGCGGAAAATGGTAGTTTGTCTGTTAAATATCCAGGTAGCACAATAAATGAAAAAGGGAGGGGATGGATAGATGGCAGAAGGCGGGGGAAGGGATGAAGGAAAAGATATGGAATCATCTGCATCACGAGAATGGATTTGTTCAAATAGAGATAAAACATAAATCCAATTTTTATTATCAATCCTATTATCAGTATTACAATTATCAATAATGCAATCAAATATTATTTTAATTGATAGAAGTAATAGTAAAAAATTAATAATTATTATTGCTGTAATTCAGTATTAGGAATGATGAGTAATTGAAAAAATGTGAAAAATAGTGTCACTTATTTTTCGATTAAATTTATTCAATGAAGAAATGAAAATTGTAGTGATGAGAATTAAATTACAAATTATCAGCGTTAAATTTTCCCTGAATTTTCTTTTGCTAATAAATTTTTAGCACTTATCAAAATATATGCATTATCGTTACTATTGTTGTTATTATTATTATTCTATTAATACAATGACAATTATTACTACTATTATAAATGAGGAATTACTGAGCAGTGGCAATAATATTGCTACGTATTTTTGAATCAAATTTATTTAAGCTGAAATGATAACAATAGAATTGCAATTTTATAAAAATAATTTTTTCTTCCAATTTTCTTTCATCGACAAAATTTTGGAGGTTACTAAAATACACATTTTTTCAAAAAGTGAATGGGCAAAAGTGACATTAAATATGTTGCATGAAACTTGTTCAGAGAGAAATTAAAATTGCAGAAGAAAGTGAAAATTGAATCGGTAATAAATCGTGACATTCTTGACAAAAAGTTGTTACGATTTTTTAATTTTCAGTTGTTTAATATATATTTTAGTAAGCTAGAATTTTCAACAATTATCAGAATATATATAATTATTACCAGTTGTCACTGATTATCACTGTTATAAATTATGCACATAATTTCAATGATTTAAAATGTCTATTAATATAAAGCTTAATTTTTATGCATAAACTTTTTACACCAATTATTTATTTATTATAAAAAATTCAATAAATTTCTTATCAATTTCTTCTTCTCTTGTTTTTTGATGATAATCACATTAGTATATTATTCTCGCCCTACCACAATATTTTCCGGTTAATTACACCTGACTATTTTGATTTCCTGTTCAAAAAAATTTTTTTTCATTGATCAATTAGTTCAGAGTTAGTGTTGATGAAACTAAAAAAAGGAATTTGATAATTCAAATTAATTTCAAGCAGTTAATAATGCGCGGATAATAAAAAAATTCACATTACTTTCCTCACTTTTTTATCTTTAAATTTTTTTTCAATATGGAGGCTCTTCTTAAATGAAACTTTTGTTCAAAAAAGGTAACAACTATAAATTTAAAGGGAGAAATGATAACTGTATTTTCATTAAATGCGTGTGATATAGCATAATAACATCAATTGAAAATAACAATGATAATAATAATAATTTACAGCTATTTTAATTTCTGTTCTTTTGTTGCTGTTGCAAAGTAATAGCATTTACTTATCAATAAATAATGAAGTTGAATATTTTACGAAATATTCAGATATTTTAATCTTAATAAATTTGTGTATTTCCAGTTCGGAAAAATTTTTTCTTGTTTCTTCTTCCTTTTTTTATCCTATTTATCAATTTTAAGTGGTTTTTTTCAATGAAAAAAAAATCGAAAATCTTCAAAATCTCCAAAAAAAAATCGAAAAAAAATCATTTTTTTAAAAAGCAAAACATTGATCATTCCAAACTCAAAAAATATTTTTCCATTTGAATTTATATATAAATGTCTCCTTTTAAAAATGATTTGATTTGAAATGGAAAATAATTAAATGGGATTTTTAAAATTTTGCTACACATCAATATTACCGATAATTTTGAGGCAGCTTAAGAATTTTTGCTTTTTTTGAGATTGAACTTAATGGAAGCGTCTTGATAGAGTATTATATTTCAAAGAATTTGTATTGTATTTGCTCTATTCTTGAATTCTCGAAAAATAAATGCTTAATATTTTCAAATTATGAACTCTATTTGCTATTTTCAAAGTTACCCGGCATAATTACCGGATGTAATAGATTAATAAAATCAGATTAAAATATAAACCATTGGGGCGATGAATTTAAACAATATAATCCCGGTCGTGCAAAATGCCTTCCTTGCTCTCCTCTTTTCTCTTTCCTCCTCCCCAGCTCTCTTAAAATTCTGCTGTCAAAACAGGTTTACATGATTTCTATATTAATTAGTATTAATTAATCTCTTTAATTAGTATTTGACTATTTGAAGGCCGAATGATGAAAACATTTACAGTGCATATTTGACAGTTTACTAAAATTTTCCTTATAATTATACGACATTTCAACATTCAAACCATATGTAAAAAAATAATTTCGTTGTCCTATTTCATATAATAACTTCCAAGTTGTTACACCTTTATTTTTCCACTTTTTTTTCATAACTAAAAATTTAACAAATAGATATTTAAAACAAAAAAAAGAAATTGGGAATTAATTATTTCAGGTATTCCATACTTGTTAATTTACATGCAATTTCTTTAAAAGGATATTTTCATATTTTTTAAAGATGGCATTCATGCTTTTGAAATATCCTAAAACGATTCCTCGCTTTTTATTTTTCCTTTTCTAAAATATCAACTTTTATTTATAGCACCAAATAACTTTCACTTGAATTGCAAATATCATCATCACTATCATTACTATTATTGTTATTCATTGCTAATGATATTTATTACTATTGCATACCATTACTATTATTACCATCACTGTTGTTATCACTATCATTGGTGAGAGTAATAATTATGTCATTGTTAATTAATGATAATTTTAAATATTTGATTAATGTAATAATTATTGATAGTAATAATCACCATTGTTGTTATCATAGTTATTTTCCTGTTTACTATCATCATTATCATTAGTAAACATGTGCATTTAGTGCATTAAATTCTACTTGCAAATAATTTAAATAACTGTATACATTTCAGTACCTTTATTGATTAATTTATATCTTAGTGATTATATCAGTTTAGATTCATTAAAGAAAAGATATGCATTACCTGAAAATAGATTGATTGATTGATGATTGATTCATCGTTATTTTACTTGCTATATAAATTGCAAAATGGTTAAGAACTAAAATGGATGAATGGTGTCGAATTATTTTTGAATGATTCACATTTGCAAATCATTTCATAGAATGCTTCTTTATTTCTTTGCCTACAACTTTCTAAAATTTAAACATTTAAACGAACAAAAATCAAAAAGCAGACATTCACGGACAGGCACGTATACACATTTATAATCAAACCTTATAACGGAAAATTATTCATTGGTTGTCTTTTCAATAGTAACATTTCTGAAATATGTTGATCACATTCTTTAACGAAATGGTTTTTTTTGCAAATTTAGATTTTGTATTTGGAAATAATTTCCTTCTGTTATTTTTTTTTTGGAAAAAAGTCATAGTTTAATTAAAAGCTCTACCTTAATTATATGCTATTTACTTTTTCCCCAAAGTTTAATTTCTATTTTTTATGATAATAATTTCTATTCATTCAAATATAATACGATAAAATGCAAATTAATCAAGTTTTTAATCTAAAAACGACGATGTGTTAAATTGATTCCTTTCATTTTGATTAACTTTCATTTTTTTTTAAAACTAACTGTTTATAAAGGAAAATTTAATTGTTTTTATGGTCCTTTATATAGACATACAAAATTGATCTTAAATTAAAACAGTAATAATTTTAACTGGTGGTAATTGGTCAATGTTATTTCTTCGTTCTGTAAAATTCTTTGGTTATCCTCAGGATTATTCCAGGGAAGATGATTGTGTAGCTTAGTTTCTGTGAAATAAAATTTACGATATCAATCGACCAACATCGTGTGTTAATCAATTCATTGACTAGTTTATTAATGATTTGTCAGGTATTTGTAAGGTAAAATTTTGAGAAATAACAAAGATCTCTTTAAAATTTTCATAATATTTCTGGATTATAAATTCAAATTGTTTATTTGAAAAAGAATGGATCTAAATTAGGAGATTTAAAAATAACATTGTGAAATATTGCACTGTTGCAGATGTTTACCCAAAGTGAAGAGCAATGGAAGGAAACGGATGATTTGCGTAGTAACGAATATCGGCGACGTATCACCCATGAAGACATCTGCAATTGCTATCGTTCACAACGATTTCGGTCGCGATCATCGTCGGAAAACTGGCGAAGATCAACTGATTATTGCGGTGGCTTTAACGATTATGTGACATTATATCCTTCACATCTTTGGTTTCGAAATGACCTGAGGGGACGCAATAGACAACGATGTCGTCATAGTTTGAACGGATTTTGCAATTGTCGCTGTTGCTGTGCACGTAATGAGCAACGCCATCGTGAAAGTCACAGTGAAACAGTGCATAATTGTCGTAAACATTGGGCTGCTTGGAATTCAACAAATCATACTGATCAATTTATGGAAAATCCGAGGACAATTCGTATCATACCAATGACATTCGTTTCCACATCAACTACAAAAGATCCGCCTAATTTTCAAACAAGTATCGTTACTGATGCCAAAAATGCTGCAACCGATACCGATGATTCATTAAAAGCAACAAATGCTCCTTATTATGGACCATTTCTGGCTCGTAAATTAAAAATTACTCCGGCAACAATATCTATTCCGTCTAAAAGATGCCGATCGGTTCATGAATGCTACTTATCGGAACGAAAATGCATGCGCGAAATTCAAAACGATAAACCTAAAATTGTCAAACATTTAACATTCGTAAATGAAACGATGCATGAAAAATCAAACGATTCAAAGATCACAACTGATGCTTACAGTGATACCATCCCGAAACATACATGTAGTGAATTTGACGAAAAAATTTACAATCAACTGAATCTTTCCAATTTATCATCCTCAACGATGATTGATAAATTTGAGAAAATATTGCAAAGAAATTCGATCTCAGAGGAGAATCATGAAACTCATCATGAAACTGGACGTGATACATTAATGGAAGGATTAGCATTGCTAAAACATCGAAAGAAAGAGCAAGATGAAAAAACAATACCGCGTGAGAATAATCAAATGGACAAATATTCAGTTATTACAAAAAAGAATCCAATTAAGAAAATTACAACTTATTGGCATAAAAAAACACTCAAAAAATATGATCAAACCGAAAAATACTCACAAAAATTAGATCAATCACAGATTGATCATAAATTATACAATCAATATATGCAACGAAATGATTTGATAAAATCCGAAATAACACCAACAAATATTGAAAGTATTTCATTCAGTGATATTGATGATGGTGTTGATAGTGATAGTGAATCGAAATTTATTACGAAAATACGTCAAGTACGAGAAAATTTACGCAAAATATCCAAAGATTCAGAATTGATTATTAGCAACCGAAATGCAACAAAGAGTGAAATAACTTTAACTGATACAGGTTTGAACTTGTTTTCCTTTTTTTTTTCAATTCGTTTATTTAATTTTTTATACTTATAAAACTCGGCTTGGTAGTTTCTTTTGACTATAACAATTAATTTAATTTATTTTAATATTTGTTTGTTGAAGTTATATTTAAATATTTATCTTTATAAGTGTAAATTAGTCTTAAAATAATTGGATAAAAAAATTCGTTTATCATTTTTTAGATAAAATTTGCAAGTGTGGTAAAAAATTATTTAAATGAATAAATAATATTGGACAAATATGTGTAAGATATGAAATAATCAACCAAAAATGAATGTTTTCGTTATTTTTGTTTTTTATTACTTATCCATATTTAAGTAATGTGAAAGCCTAATTGGCCTAAGGTATTGATAATTTCAATCGGTGGAACATTAATTCCTATATCGAAAAAATTTGATATGTTTGTTTATTTATTTGTTCATATTATTTACATAACTGAATATTTATCATGCATATTGCACGCAAATATGATCGATATTTTGTTACGATTGAAAATTTGCATCAATTCAAAATGATATTTATAAAATATATATGCTATTATTTAGAGCATAAAATTGATTCAAAGTCATCGCCATCATATTCCCAAGAAATTTTAACTACTCATTCAACAGAACCGCCCACTGACAGTTATAATCGAATGGATACAAAATTTGAAACCTTTCCAAAACTTTCACGAACTTTTCATATTACTGGAAAAACAGAAAGCAAACCACAAAATATGATTTTATCAACGGCTTCAACCACCGCATTAATTGCACCTATCCATGAAGAATCTCCAAAACAGCAATCACCAATCTATAACGGACGCAAACATGAAGCTATTACTGCCGAAGTATTCATTCGAAGTCCAAGGAATGTGAAACCAACAATAATCAACATTTCCGCTAGTGATAAGGAAGCAAAGAAGCCATGTTGGATGATACTAAAAGCTTATGAATCACCTCCCAGTACAATCGATAAAGAAATTTCAAGGGAAAAATTTGATGAAACAATGATGAGAATCGAATCCGCTGTTCCCATTTGTAAAAAAATCAAGAAAAGCGAAAAAATGAAAGCCACAGATTTTTATGAAACACCATCAACTGTCACTATTCCGCAAGTAAGACAGGAAGCATCTGAACGAAATCAAACAAACATGTCAGTTTCTTCAGATTCTGAATTACAATCGAAAATGAATCATGCAGTTGAAGCTCAAACAGATACTTCAACTAAGTCAAAAATTATCACTAAAAGTAAGTATTCTATCATGAAAAATTATATTATTTACAATTAGAATTTAAAAAAAGTTGATCATGATAAAATTATGAAAAATAGCATCTTTGCATATTTTATAAAAATTATTGTATTATTATAGAATGTAATAGCAATTTTCAAATATCATTAAATTTTTTTCTGAATTTTCCTAAGCTTTTTCGAGACTTTGCTACTTACTATATAAGATAGGTTCAAGACAAAAAAAAAAAATCTATAAAACAAATCGATAATCCACTTTTAACTATTTTATGCCATAACGATTATTGCAAGAAATTTCCCGTATAATTTTCATGATGAAATAAGATAAGTACGTTTGGTTTTTAGAAAAAATCTCAAGTATCGATGATGCCTTACGGAATGATTTTCAAACTTTAGTAACAATGAAAACGGATGAAATTTGTGAAATTCATCATACTATTGCTTTTGAACGTTTGTTAACAATTGATGGTGAATCAGTGAAAATCTGCCGACGTGGTTCATCAATATTTTTCGTTTTTCGCTACAATAACAATCCTGAGATTTTGAATAAAATTTTAATTCTCTTCAAAAATGGTACTATTTATTTTATTGAAGCTTTTTTCAGTTCATTTTGGAAATTCAATATGATAATTAATTAAAACATTAAACTAGTTAGAATTTATTCCAATAAAACGTTCATATAAACTTTCCATGTTGCAGCATTTTAGTTCTATCAAAAACTATCAATTGCTTATTATTATTTTTATTTTAATTATTTCCAAGAAAATTTCAGAATTATTTCAATTATTTCCAAGAAAATTTCAGAATTAGCAAATCACGAAACTGCAATTTTGGCAGTAAGGCATAACTGTTCGCCTGGGATACCAAAGACGAATTGGCATGCAACATATAAGATTTTAACGACAGATACGGCATTATTTGAAGTGAATTATAACTTTTATTTTTGTCTAATAACAGTTTAAAAATATGTATTATTGATTAGTTTTATCAAAAACTATCAATTGCTTATTATTATTTTTATTTTAAAATTATTTTTTTATTATTGCTTAATTAAAAATTATCAGTTGGACTTATAGGTAATAATTATTTAGATTGTAACACCATCTGATATTCCAATCGGTCTTTGGCAAATGATTATGCAACATGGTGAAACATCAAATTTATGCACCATGTATTTATGCATCCTGTTCAATCCATGGCATAAAAGTTTAAATCTTACATTTATAATTTCAGATTTACAATTAATACGATAATTTCTATCTTTCAGTATTATCTGCTATTAAATTTACAAAATAACAGATTATATTGTAAAATAGCAAGTATTTGAAACAAAAATTTTCCTACAGATGATGAAACTTATTATCCAAATGAGATAGAACTTGATGAATATGTGCTGAATGAGTTAGCTATGATGCGGAAATGGCATCAAAAGGATGCTTGGCTTCTCGGGCAATTTAGCGCTGTTTGCATTAATACGGTGTTGGATCTACTGAAATTGTGTCTGGAAAATAATTTATTAAAAATGAATGAACTTGGATCAGCTTTTGCAATTGTTAAAGCAATTGCTACAGCTGTAAGTGTAAATTCGATATGGTTTATTAGATTATTGATTTGATTATTCAGTTAGATCAAAAAAAAAAAAACAATCAAGATTAAATTGAACTGTGGAAATTAATGTAGCATCAAAGCTTGAATTAAGAAATTTTATTTAGAGCTTCAACTTCTCCAAACTTATTGTTTTCATAGTTTATTGAATGTTAAATGTTCTAATTTGAATTTTATAGATTAGTAAATTTATACTGGAGGTTAAATGGAATGATTTTCAAAAAAGCAATAATGAGAATGAAATCTTACCAAGTGCTTGGACAGGTAGTAAAGAAATTATAGCAACATATCAAAGAATGGGTGTCCGAATTGGTTATGGACAGTCGTGGTGTTATGCCGGTCTTCTTATGTCAAGTACGCTGCTTATTTAGTATTAAAATATTCGAATTTTAATTTAGTTAAAAAAATAAAATATTTCCATTTTATTTTTTAATTAATTAATCTATCTAAAATATTTTGGATGAAGCTAAGAAAATGTTTTTTGTTTGGATATTTTCAAATATTATAAAACAAAATTATAGTCTGTCGATGTATTGGAATTCCATGCCGCCTAGTAACTATCTATAATTTTGCTCCACGAGTTGATAATGATGCACTGATAAAATTAGATATTATTGATGGTATGCTTGCAGAAAAAAGTAAAGATACTGTACGTTTCCCATCAATGCTTTTATTATATAATCAGTTAGTGATAAAATTATACCATGATTTTATGACGCGTTGCAATAATACTGTTGTTGTAATCTTTTTTCTTTTATTTGATTTTTTTTTTAAAGAGAGCTTTGTTTTGGCACAGTGGAATAGTTGATGATGGATTATTTGATAAGAGAATTTGATTTTTCTTGACGTTATGAGATAATTATCAAAGAAGTTATCAGTAAGAGAACTGATCATTTCGTGGGTTTTTTTCTTAATCGGGAGAATATGGTTGGGAACTATTTGTTGCAGTGTGATTAGAAGGATTTCATTTTGATGACACCGAAATACTCGGAAGTTCCAAAAACGAAGAATTCGAAACCCCAAAAGGAAGTAGAAGTTCTGAAGTATGTGAAGAGAGCTTTTTATAGTCAATTAGGCGTCAAAGATTAAAGTGAACAACAATTTTTGAAGTTCGTTAATGAGCAAAAACTTATTTGACGCAGAGATTAGTTATTTCAGAATTTCAAGCCAAATTAATTTCATGATTCTAACATTTTTATATAATAAGTTATTGTGGATTTTCCGGCGGCCGTACCATGATTTCATGATGAAATCATGATTTTGTGATATTGATTAATGATATTAGGAAACTGTAATAATATTTTTGACTTTCATTGAATAGCTCCACCTAATTTATTGAGCAATTAACTAATTTATTCGAAATTGTTTATGGTAATAATACTTTTACTACAAATACCTTTTACGCTTTGATAGTTTATGAATAAATGATAATGAGTTGTATGCTAGCATGAACTATACAAGCATTTCAGTTGAGACTAATGAATTCATGGTAAAATAAAAACTGCACAGTACAAAAAGTAGAAATTAAATTTGAAAAAATTCTCACTCTTACAGAACTATTAATAATATTAGTTTGCGTGACAAAAGATCACATATGTAAAATTTGAATCTGGCAGCAAATTTGTTTCGAATTTAAAAAAAATTAAATTTTATCACTGGAAAATTTAGATATGGCATTATCACATTTGGAATGAATTATGGCTTCAATCAAAGATGCTAAGAAATGGTAGTGAATGGCACATTTGTGACGCTACTCCAACAGTAAACGGTTATTTTAAAAAAAGTTTTTCATGTGAAAGAATTTTAAATTTTTATTTATTTTATATTTCAATACATTAATGTTAGTTTCTTTTAATAAGATATCATATACATTGTTTTTGTTTAACTTTTCAAAAACTTTAATTACATGTTGTTATTTTATTTCTCTTTCAAAAAAATCATATAATTTTTTAAAATATCATTTTTTGACATATCAGTAGAAGAAAGAAATAATAAAATAAAAGGGAAAAATTATTTGGTATATACAATGATTTTTTTTTTCATTCTAGGACAAGAGGAATTATTAGGTCAAGGAAAAACATTATTTCCGGTACGACGAATTAAAAACTATGATGATGAGAAGGTAATACGACAAAATGAGAACGAATATTTTGGAAAGCAGCTTTACGGAATGTTGAATGCTACCATTATTTGCAATTATTATTATCGTGATCCGGTAACACATAAAC